CAAGTGATGGTGTGGTAACAATGCTGCACTGCTCCTGAATTCGGTGAAGTGTGTCGCTACACTTATAGAAGCTGTAGTTGCTTTCACTGCTGTGAGATGCAACAAGATGCAAGGGGTTGGCCAATCAGTATTGTCGCTGGCTGCTAATTCACAAGCTGTAGCTTGTCAATCAGCATCTGGATACACCTAGTCCTGCCCATTGTCACTGCTGCTGAAACAATCCCAAGGTAAGGATTTGAGGCTTGTTTGGACTATCGCACATGGGCCTTTACATGTACTTTAAAGCTAACAAAAATTGATATTGACTTTACAGGGGAATACGTACAGCCATTGCAAGATGTGAATTCACGGCCATATACAGATCTACTTCAGACTTTTAAATTCAAGAATGACTGGCCTTTCAGCTTTAAGCTTTGGAATACATAAATTACTGGTTCATTTCTCCTTTAGCTTCATGAAAAAAAAATCCACTGTAGAAATATTCAAATGACTGCATTATTTATGACACATGAAAAGCTGCACACTTGTAAATATGATGCAAATTATAAAGTCGTAAAAGCTTATGTCATGAAAAATGGATGACTGTTTTCTAGTATATAAGCTCATGAACATTACATTGCAAGATGTGTTATAACTACTAGAGCATAATCAATTATACACTGTATCAGCGCCATGAACCCCCATCATGTAATTTGTCTGCTTCAATCATTAGCTCAATAAGAGGAAAGTATCCAGCAGACAATTGTACAAACAATATTGCCTATATGTACTGAGAAAAATATAGAGGCTGCTGACCTAAAAATACTAGCATCCTGGCTGTCACCGGATTCAACCCAAAGTCACTGATTAGCAACCAGCAAGCAGAGAAAAAAACAACATACTTGCGTTGCACCCAAGCCTTTTCCTGTGGCATCTAGGAGAGGCTGGGGTCATGGACCTGATGGTGAAGGCCCCAGGAAGGCCTCGGATTCCAAACACATGTGAAGATGCTACTGGAAAGTACTCCTGTTTAGTCCAAGGGTCCATTCACATGGGCGTTCTGTTTTTTTTTTATCAGTTGTCGCATTTTTTTTTTTTTTCAAAATCAGAGCTAAACGGATCAAGACTGCAATTTTTACCTCTGTTTTCATATCTGTTGACATCTGCTTTTTCATCCGTTGACATCAATTTATGATCAAATTTCATGCGTTTTTGAGCTGTTTGCGGTCCATTTACATCCGTTTTATATCAATTTTTCATTCGTTTTTCATGAGTCATGGAAATTTTCAGACACTTTGCTCAAACCTGGCATGCATTGTGCTTCCCATGCTGCTTTGTGGTTCCAGTGAATTACTTAGTGCACATCACAGTGTTCTTTCCTGTGTGTTTCTGTGTCTTTCCTGGGATTTTGCATTAGAGAGCAATGGCTTGTCTTGTACCCCCCCCCCCCCCCCCAAGACACCTAACACGTTTTCTCATGCTGCCTTGGATTGAGTGATGACCAGTTAGGTGTGACTTCAAGAAATATTTCTTCCCAGAGTCTTTTCTTTGTGACCCTATCACTGTAGTCACAGCAGGCACTGTCCCATAATCCTGGTCTGCCATGGACCAGGTTACTGAGTCTCTCATGGGACACATCTTTGGCCATGTCTTCATCAAAGATGATTTCACAGGCATGTCACTTCCTTCTGGGACCATTCCCTGGGTCATAGGTTATTGTTTTATTGAAAAACAAATAAGCAAATTTGCAGAAAAACAGATGTTAGCGGATCGGATGTAAGCGCTAACTGCTAACATCATTTTTCGTCCGTTCCGGATTTTTTACAAAAGAAAAATAGGGTTTTCTTCTGTTAAAAAAAAAAAAGGATGTTAACAGATGCGGACATTAACGGATGTAAAAAGATGTTCATCCGTTTACATCCGTAAGACTATAGAAAAACATGGATGGACAGATGAAAAACGAACATATGGAACGCCCGTGTGAAAGAAGCCTTATGGTGCTCTGAGCCAGCTCAGCGTCTGATCTTTGATCAGGTGTCTCTAATCTGTTTACCGAAAAACACACAGGAGATGTTAGGAGTCTAATAGGCCTCTGTTAATAAAAATCTGTCTCCACAGTAAAAAGCAAAAATTCCAAGTAAAGCAAATGCTGCTCGCACTAATCCAATCTTTACTCTATCCATACTGCTCTCCTGCAAATACTGCCCCGCTCTAATACTATTCCTATTGCTCTCCTGCAAACACTGCCCGCTCTAATACTATCCTTATTGCTCTCCTGCAAATACTGCCCGCTCTAATACTATTCCTATTGCTCTCCTGCAAACACTGCCTGCTCTAATACTATCCTTATTGCTCTCCTGCAAACACTGCCCTGCTCTAATGCTATCCTAATTGCTCTCCTGCAAACACTGCCCGCTCTAATACTATCCTTATTGCTCTCCTGCAAACACTGCCCGCTCTAATACTATCCTTATTGCTCTCCTGCAAACACTGCCTGCTCTAATACTATCTCTATTGCTCTCCTGCAAACATGCCCGCTCTAATACTATCTTATTGCTCTCCTGCAAATAATGCCCGCTCTAATACTATCTGTATTGCTCTCCTGCAAAAATGCCCACTCTAATACTATCCTGTATTGCTCTCCTGCAAACACTGCCCGCTCTAATACTATCCTATTGCTCTCCTGCAAACACTGCCCGCTCTAATACTATATCTCTATTGCTCTCCTGCAAACACTGCCCGCTCTAAACTATCCCTACTCTGCAAACACTGCCCGCTCTATCCCTACTGCTCTCCTGCAAAACACTGCCTGCTCTAATATGATCTCTATTGCTCTCCTGCAAACAATGCCCGCTCTAATACTATCCCTACTGCTCTCCTGCAAACACTGCCCGCTCTAATACTATCCCTACTGCTCTCCTGCAAATACTGCCTGCTCAAATATGATCCCTACTGCTCTCCTGCAAAGAATGCCCGCTCGAATACTATCCCTATTGCTCTCCTGCAAAACACTGCCCGCTCTAATACGATCCCTACTGCTCTCCTGCAAACAATGCCCGCTCGAATACTATCCCTACTGCTCTCCTGCAAAAACTGCCTGCTCAAATATGATCCCTACTGCTCTCCTGCAAAGAATGCCTGCTCGAATACTATCCCTACTGCTCTCCTGCAAAGAATGCCTGCTCGAATACGATCCCTACTCTTGTCCTGCAAAAACTGCCCGCTCAAATACTATCCCCTATTCCTCTCCTGCAAATACTTGCTGATCTCATACTATCGATACTATCTCTATTCTTCTGCACAGACGGCACACCATCTCACCCTTCAAATACTGCCTTTTTCTCACTACTCTCTCATACTGTCTGCCATCATACCCCTTCACACCTCTCTTTTGCACAGACTGCTTGCTTTCATAGTTTACATATTCCTCTCCAGTGCATAAAGCCCACCATCACCCCCTTCACATTCCTCTCCTGAACATATTGTCAGCTCTCAAAATAAAATACTCCTTTCAGGTATATACAACCCAAAAAGTGAAGAAAGAGAAGTAAATTCTGCGTTGGAGGTCTACATTAAAGTGAACCAGTTGCTTTGCCCTGTCTGGGAAAAGCACAGCGTCACTTTAAGCTCCCATAAAATGTCATATTAGTAACTCCAATCATTCTCACATCCAGAAGTGTTCTTTAAATGTAGGTGGTGAGAGGCACTTGCATCTTTTCCCAGTGTTTAATGAGACCCTGTTATGAACTGGCATTTGTAACAATCTGAATATACACTTTTAAACTAAAACTATAGCAACACTTTTTTTTTTCCATTTTGGATGGAGTAGGGAAGGATTAAAACCCATCAAGTTTTTTTGCCATCTGTGTCCTATTGAGATTTACTTTCACTTCCTGTCCCATAACCCAGGGCTTGAAAAAGCCGCTCGCCCGCTTGCCGAATGCGAGAGGAAATCCTTGTGTGGCGAGCACAGATGGAGCGGCTCCACCTGCTCTCCAAGCCTCATTGTGAAGCAGAGTTCCAGTTTCCAACTTCCGGCTTCTTCTTCGGCACCGCCATTACACTGGCAGCGCCACTGAGCGGACAGGTGCCGGAGAGGTCTGCTCTCCTCTGCTGAAAGGTGACAAATAATGATCCATTATGAGAATAGGAGATTAACAGGGGGCAATAGTAATATTAATCTTATATAAAAGATACAAATGTCCCTTGAAGAAAAAAAAAAAAAAGAACCAAATTAGAGTCAGTCCCTTCAAAGGGGCATTCAGTAAATCAATAAAAGCTGAATTAGAAAGATAAAAACAAATACATATTAATGCAGCTCTGTATTGATTAATTCATCATTCAATTTATTTTTCTTTTTACATGCAAGCACAGTATGAACCTATATTTAACCTGGTATCAGCCCCTGTACAGCAGAGTCCAGACTGGGAGAGGGAGAAGCAGCACAAGAAGCCAATCACGTGTGCTGCAGTGCTGATATATCCTGTACATAAGGAGGATGTGGCTCTCCCTGTGTAATCATTGGGCTCTGTGCTCTGTTTATCAGGAGAACGTGGCTCTCCTTGTGTAATCATTAAATCATCATCAATGAAAAATACAAAATGTTTACTACAGGTTTAACCACTAGCCTACAGGGCACTTATACCCCCTTCCTGCCCAGGCCAATTTCCAGCTTTCAGCACTGTCGCACTTTGAATGACAATTGCGCAGTCATGTAACACTGTACCCATATGAAATATTTATCATTTTTTTGTGACAGATAGAGCTTTATTTTGGTGGTATTTAATCACCTCTGGGTTTTTTATTTTTTCTTAAACAAACCAAAAACCACAGAAAATTTTGAGGAAAAAAAAGTTCTTCGTTTTTGTTATAACATTTTTGTAAATAGGTGATTTTTCTCCTTCACTGATGTGCGCTAATGAGGCTGCAATGATGGGCACTGATAGGCTGCACTGATGGACACTGATAGGTGGCACTGATGGGCATTGACAGGCACCACTGATGGGCACTGAAAGACAGCACTCATATGGCACTGATAGGAGGCACTGACTGGCATTGATAGGTGGCACTGACTGGCACTGATGGGTGACACTGAATGGCAGCTCAGATGGGCACTGATATGTAGCATTGATGTGGCACTGATGGGCACTGGCAGGTGGCATGGATGAGCACTGACAGCTGGCACTGACGGACACTGACAGTGGCGCTGCTGGGGCTACACAGATCATCAGGGCACACTGATGATCAGTGCTCTGATGATCTGTGTACATGTCCCCTCCGAGGAATGCCGATTACCGTCTCTCCTCTCCTCACGAGCTGTCAGCATGTCAGCTCGTGGGGAGAGAAATGCCGATAACCGGCATCTCCCTGTTTACATGTGATCAGCTGTAATTGGACACAGCTGATCACATGACCGAGCCGACATCTTTGGCTCTTTCCGTGGATCGGTGATCCACTGTGTCCACGGTTAGAATAGAAGGACGTCATATGACGTCCTCCCAGAATGAGAGAACCGCCTTGCGTCCGTCATATTACTATAGGGGCGGCGGGAAGCGGTTAAAGCTATAAAACTTGATATTTTGATTGCACCCTATTGCTATTAAGCTATTGCTGTTATGTTTAAACCTCTTCCATACCGGGCAATTTTTTCCCCTTCCTGCCCAGGCCATTTTTCAGGTTTCAGCGCTCTCACACTTTGAATGATAATTGCGCGGTCATACAACACTGTACCCAAACTAAAATTTTATCATTTTCTTCACACAACTAGAGCTTTCTTTTGGTGGTATTTAGGCAACACTGGGGTTTTTATTTTTTGCTAAATTAACAAAAAAAAGACCAAAAATCTTTTAAAAAAAAAAACAACACATTTTTCTTTGTTTCTGTTATAAAAGCTTGCAAATAAATAATTGTTCTTCATAAATTTAGGCCGAGATGTATTCTGCTACATGTCTTTGGTGAAAATAACCCAAATTAGGATGTATTTTTTAGTTTGTAGGAAAGTTATAGAGTTCACAGACTTTGGTATAGATCTGAATATTGATCAATCCTGAAGTACTGACAGCCAATCTAAATTCTTGAGGTCCAAGAATTTCAGAACAGTACAGATATCCTCCAAATGACCCCTTTTTGTAAAGTAGACAGTCCGACGTACTTCATAACAGGCATGGCGAGTTTTTTGAAGTTGTAATTTTTTTGTCATAATTTTTAGGAAAATGAAAAAATTATTTTCACTATTTTTTTTTTTTTACATACTGTCACCAGTGCAGTACAGCGTCATCATATAACTGGCATGGCGGTGATCAGGGACACTGACTGGTGACAGTACGAAAAAAAAATTATTATTTTTTTATTAGTTTTAATTCTTTATTACTTTTTTTAAGATTTTGTTTTCATATTTCACTATGACCAAAGTAGTATAATGTTACCATAGTAACATTGTACTACTTTGGGGAAGTGATCATTATTTTTTTTTTTTACACAATTTGCTTATAGCAAAGAATTATTTTGCTATAAGCAAGTATTTACCTGAATGACATCGATTCATTCAGGAGGTTTTATTTGTGCTTAGCTGTGATTTGGCCACTGCTAATCACATGAAACAGCTGGGCTGTGATTAGTCCAGCTTGTGCATGTGATCGCTGTGACCATTCACAGCTAGACACACTAGTTTACAATGGATGGCATGAAAGGAAGCCATCCATTGTATACAACTGTCATGTGACCTGCTGTGATTGGTCACAGTAGGTAACACGGTACTGGAAATGGGGCCGGTACACAGATCGGTCATCGGCCGTGTCCGAGGCACATGGCCGGTGACAGATCACGCTGCGGGCAGGAAAACTGCGAATGAGTGATTGGGCAAAGCTCATCACATGATACAGATGTGCTGTGATTGGCCCTGTCTGTATCATGTGACCACTATGACCACTCACAACTACACAATTGAATACAAAGATGGCATGTGTGACGATCAGACCCCAGCCCTTCTCACCAAACTCGTGACTGAAGGACTAGTCAATCTAAAACCGCGCTGTCACGTGCGTAACAATGCCACGCCCAGCTGCACCCTGCACAAAGATTTTCCAGCTAATGGACCACAATCTGTGTACCGGCAGCCTGAGAGCGATCGTTACTGGGTCAGGTTAATTACGCAATTAACCCTTCACACTGCCACCACCTCCTTTTTGTACAGAGAAAGAGGAAACTCGGAAATATCAGCAATAACACTATGATGTTGGCATAAGCGTCGGTATACCACTGTCACCGCAGGCAGAGATATACCTAAGTTTAAAAAACACACACAGTAGCGCTCTTCAGAGGCAGGGATTCTTAGTTTGCATTAAAGAGCTTTAGAAATAGTTCAACACTTTCAGAAAGTAAGATGTATTACTAAAAAGGTCAAAAGGGTACAATAAAAATATTTACAGAAAAAGATGTAGCCTATATATATATATATATATATATATATACAGTATATATATATATATATATATATATATATATATATATATATATATACACACACAGAGAACAATAGCACAGCAAAGAGATGACAGAAAGAAGTTTAGAGGGATAAAGTACTTGCCATCAGCCTTGGGTTAAGCAGATCAGGTTTCAGAGTCAAAAGGATCTTATCTCCCAAAGTTAGTTCCGATGTTAAAAAGGGAGATTCTTCAACTTAACTCAACTCAGCCTCGCCTTACTTCAAGCACCACAGCCTTTATCTAGGAACTCAGTAGGGTGTCTCCCTGAAGCAGAGAACCAATCGCTCATTTGGGGAGGGGGTTGTGTAGGCAGGGAGCTCAGGCTATGACCAAAGCCTTCACAAATTATACTATGGCCAATAACTTTTCCTAGGTACATATAACATTCTATCCATGAGTAGATTAATACCCAGAATCTTCTGCGGAACGTCTACATATGAAATATGAGATACCTGCTTGAATGGCTAAAGAGATATAATTTTCTGCTCTCCTGTATATGCCAGCTAGGGGGTGTAATATACCAGGTGGCTTGTCTGTGTAATTATTTCCTATTTGGAGATATAAAATTATATGGAAAACTGGGTTTTAAAATGTAAGTCTGTTTTACGACTCCTTGGAATGTCTTTTGAAGTTCCGTGAGGGCTTGGTTTATGGTCTTACGGTATCCCAGATTGCAAGCTAACCGGCATCTAGGCACCAGCTCGGCTGGGGTTTTATAGCCATGACGCCCTCCCAATGAGTTTGCTGCCTGTGATCTCTGCAACGAACAGACCACATGTCACTCGACAGAGAGGGAGGGGTATGTCGGAGGAATCTGATTTGGGAGAGAGAGATACAATATGGAGGGGTTTAGAGCAAAATGGATGACTGCCTCCATATCTGTGTGCACGATTGCTACAGCATGAAAGGAAATGTCAGGGATCCCCTCGATCCCTGCCGCGATGGTCCCGGCGCAGGCGCACTGCTCCGCCCTGTGCAGGGACACGGACACTAGGTCCGGGCCGGCCGCGGCGTTCGAGTTCGCGCATGCGCAGTAGAAGCCGCGGCCGCCCGCTGGGCACCAATGGCAGCGCAGGGCGGGATATTTAAATGTCCCTGAGCTGTCATTTCGTTGCCTTCTGGTCTTACCCGCTTCCTGTGATTCTGAACCTGTGCCTTGTAAGTTAATTGACCCGGATTGTTCTTGACCTGCTGATTTCTCCTGCCCAGACCCTTGCTTTGCCTGACCTCTCTCCCTGGATGCCCCTCATTAGATCTGACCTACTGTTGCTGACCTGGCGTGTGACCCGACGATTCTCTGCCTGCTCCCTTGTACCTTACCGTCCTCTACGTTACCAACTCGGCCTGTCTGACTTCGCACTTGCTCAGCCATCCATCCATCCATCCCATCGGGGTCACCCGACCTCCTCACATCTGGCTCTCCCTGGTTGGAGCCCCTGGCGAACACCCCTACCGCTGACAGGTGTGCTCAGTAGTGGCGACCTGGTCTCGGGGTACTACAAGTCCATCCCCACCATCGGGGCCCTGGTGAACAAGTACCCTGGGGCTTAGACTCCGCGCTCTGGGCACGCCTGACCAGTGGAGTGCTAGTGGTGCCGCTCGGCGGTCCCTCACAGGAAGCCATCCATTGTATACAATTTTCATGTGATTTGCTGTGATTGATCACATGACACTGGCAGCAGGCTACTGTAGTGATCTGTCATCGGCTGTGTCCTATGGACATAGCCAGTGACAGATCGCATCGCAGCGCACCCCTGCGACCGTGTGAGCAGCACCTTCTGACAGGATGTCATATGACGTCCACTCAAAAGGAGGAGGGCCTCGCCTGACCGTCAATCTGCTATAGGCTGGGCGGGAAGGTGTTAAGATGTTATAATAGTGCACCTATATCTTTAGGGCATGGGTCTCCAAACTTTCTATGCCAAGTGCCAGTTTTACTGTCCTTTAGACCTAGATAGAAAATTCTCAAATGGTGAGAAAACAATGCCTCAGGCATGGTGGGCAATGGGAGGAAATCCCCACTCCCTATCTTTGCTGTCGGTGGAAGGTATGGTGCCTCATTTCTGGTGTCAGTGGGAAGAATAGTGCCACGTATCACAGTGAGGAATAGTACCCCAAGGGCTGGATAAAGGCAAGCAAAGGGCCTGTTCGCAGGCCTCAGTTTGGAGACCACTGCTCTAAGGCATAGATAAGTGTGATGTTATTTCCAGGGGTTAAACAAAAAATGGAAACACTGCATGATTTGCAGGTGTGAAAGTGACAAAATGTTTTGCGCTGAAAGTGGAAGTGATGTAACATTATTTTGCTTCCGCTGTGTAATGAGACACCTAGCGAACAGGTGGGAGGTCTCATGTTCATCATCATTAGTGTGTGCTACTAGTAATATATGGAGTCATGTCAGAGCTTACGGAGCTTCAAAGAGGGCAAATTGTGCCTGCTTATGTAGGCCATAGATGGCTCACAAACCGTGCAATTTTTCGACATTGGGAATTGTAAATGTACTGAGGCATTTTTTTTGTACCTTACTGTTATGAATGTATTAAGGTAAAAAAAAAAAACACTTAGGCTTTAGTACTACTTTAAGGGCCCATTCACACTAGGAATTATTTGTGAATCATTCTTGTGCGATTCACATGCAGTTCTGTGCAGTCCAATTTTGCGCGATTCACATGTAGTTCTGTGCAGTGTAATTTTGTGCGATTCACATGTAGTTCTGTGCAGTGCAATTTCAGCCCTATTCATTCTGAATTGGCTGAAATCGCACCGAAGCACACACCATACCAAAATAGTGAATGTACTACTTTTTAAATGCACGGCAACTGCATTGCATGGAACTTTTGTACCATGCAATCTGGGGCAGGTAAAGGCAATGTGTTTACAACCTGCGTTTGGGGGTTGTTAACTTTTAACTGACCCCTGCAGCGGATCGCAAGGGCATTATGATCAGAATGCGGTGCGGGAAACCGCATGGGCCTT